CCCCCCATGTCTGCAGGAGCAGTATGCACTCAACCACTGAGCCGCCTCTCCAGCCTCAAGGGTATTTTAAAATCCATATGACACACAGACAAAATTCTGGCTCTGGCCAGCCCAGTGTTAACGAAGATTTATTTTGGGTTATGGTTTTCGGCCGTGGTATGTCCATCAGCCTTGTTAATTTAGCATAGTGTAGAGCCATCTGAGAGAGCAACAGTCCAAGAAGGGCATCGATCAGGGTGTTTGGCGCTATCTGTGACTGTCTTGGTTACCAAGTGACGCAGGAGGGCCCAGCCCACTGTGGGATGGAGCAAGCCAGCAAGCAGTTCCTCTATGGTTCCTACTAGCATTTCCCTCCATGATGGATTGTGACCCGAAAGGATAAGCCAAATAGCACATCTGGGTTTCACTGCTTTGAGAACAGGATGGCAGTGTGAGAATGTCAGAGAGAAGACTGTTCGTCTCCACAAAGGTGGCAGCCAGGATGCAGAGAAAGAAGTGAGCAGCAAAATCTCTTCTGCCATGTTCCAATAGCTCCACCTGCTGGAGACAAGCCTTCAATACCTGAACCTTGAAATCCAAACCACAGGACCAAGACATCTCCAGCAGTGGCTGGCCTCCCCTGAACCTCCAATATCTGCTTACCTCATTCGAGTCATGCCTGTGTGTGCACACGATAGAGACTGAACCCAAGCCTTGAGCATGCTCTGCCACTGAGCTACATCTGAGACCCTGCTACCTATCACTTTTTTTTTTTTTTTTGAGACAGATTTCCACTGTGTAGCCAGACAAACCTGGAATTTGCTTCTCTGCTCAGGCTAGCGTCAAGTAAGTTCTGGCACCATTTACATTTCATTGGGTGGTGGGAGGTGGGGGGCAGGTGCATGCCAGCACATGGGGAGGTCAGAGGACAACTCTGGGGTCGGTTCACTCCTTCCACCTTTATATGGGTTCCATGGATTGAATTCGGGTGACCAGGCTTGTGTGCCAAGTGTTCTTATTCAGTGGCCCACATGAACAAGGAGGAGAGTAGAGCTATCTGTCACTCAATTCACACCGCAGACTCCGGACCGCCAGCACGTGCGTGGATGTCTAAGGGGACAGTCAAGGTGCCCAGCTAAAACTGTCTTCGGAGGGCTTTAAGAGACGGCTGAGCAGTCAAGAGCACTTGCTGTTCTTGCAGAGGCCTGAGTTCTGTCCTCAGCACCCCATCTGGGTGGCTCACAACCAACCACCTGTAACTGCATTCCTGTAACTGCCTGATAGGGCCCTCTCTCTCCTGGCCTCCATCAGCACCAGCACTCACATGTACTCACAAAGACACAAACACATACATTTTTTAAAAGAAGTTGGATCTGGTGAAATGGTTCGGTGAATCAAGGTACTTGCATCTAGCCTCACAACCTGAGTTCAATCCCCAGAACTGACACACCGGAAGTCGAAAACTTCCAGGAGCTGTCCTCTGTCCGACACACATGCGTACACACCCACACACTAAATAAATGGATACATATAATTTAAAAAGTTCATTCCTGCGTCTTGACACCAAAACAATAAGCAGACAAAAACCTAGCCAGTGAGCAGAACGTTTTTCCATGTCTCCAAGGTGAGGCGTGGAAGGTGAGGTGAAGATGGACACCAAGTTGCCCTCCTGACGGATCCCTGTCCCACAGAACAACCCTCCACTGCGGACCTGCTCACCACTGAGTCAAGCGCCAACCAGGGCACAGCAGGGTCACCCACCGCTGACAGATAAAGCCCCACCTCAGGAAACTAAGAGGCTGAGCCCATGCCTCCTCCACGGCATCTTTATTCTAGCTGGGATGTGAATATGGGTCAGAACGATCAGATGTATCAAAGCACTTCAGCCCGAGTCTACAGGGAGGGTGCAAAGTGGGTGGACGGCATCCCAGGGCAATTCTCCCCAAAGCCTTGTAGTCCGAGCCCACGACCGGAGGAGCGCTGTGGGCAGGGAGGGACAGGACCATGCAGCAGCGCACAGGATGGAGAGGGACAAGGACCAGTCGAGAGGGCTGCGGCTGAGTTTATTCTATCTTGACGTCCCTCTGCTGCTTGATGAAGCTGATGAGGCCGTTAGTGGAGGAATCGTGGGAGGTCACGGCGGCGCTGCCCTCCAGCTCGGGCTCGATCTTCTTGGCCAGCTGCTTCCCCAGCTCCACTCTGCCAGGGAGGGGTGGGAGAGGAGAGTGAGCCGGGTTCCAGAGCCAGCAGGAAGGCAAACAGACCTCCCTCAGCAACTCACCCCCACTGGTCGAAGCTGTTGATGTCCCAGATGATGCCCTGAACGAAGATCTTGTGTTCATACATGGCTGTAGAGGAAGGAGCAGATGGTATCCATCAGGCAGGCAGGCCGGCCGGCCTTCCTCCCTTTCCCTTCCTTCCTTCCTCCCTCCCATCCCATCCAACTGATCCCAAGCCTGGCAGTCCCTTCCTCTTTCCCACTCACCAATCAAGGCTCCCAGAATGAATGGTGTGAGCTTGGTGAACACAATAGAGTTGGTTGGGCGATTTCCTTCGAAGACCTACAGGAAACAAGAAATGTCCTCAATGAGGTGCAGAGTGAGAGAATTCCAGAGCACTCAGTCCTAAATGGGGTGTCTCTACACACCCAAACCCAAGGCTCAGGGATCTCCACAGAAGAGGAGTTGGAAAGACTCTAAGAGCCAAGGTGGTGGATGACTTCAGGGAAACAGTATCTTCCAGACACAACAGGACTGATGCACTTAGAGACTCACAGACTAAGCTGGGTGTTGGTGGCACAAACCTTTAATCCCAGCACTCAGGAGGCAGAGGCCGGTGGATCGCTGAGTTCGAGGACAACCTGGTCCCTGGTATACAGATTGAGTTCCGGGACAGCTAGAACTACAGAGAGAAGCCCTGTCTC